ATGATGGGTGATGATGTTGTTGATGGATGATGATGGATGATGGGTGATGGATGATGATGGATGATGATGGATGATGATGGATGATGTTGATGATGGATGATGTTGGATGATGTATGCTGCTGCATGATGACGTTGTTGACTTGCTGATGGAATGATGGATGATGATGGATGGTGATGGATGATGGATGATGATGGCTGATGATCGATGCTGCTGCATGATGACGACGTTGATGACGTTGATGACTTGCTGATGGATGTTGATGTTGATGATCGATGATAATGGGTGATGATGTCGATGATGATGGATGATGATGGCGGTCGTGCTGGTGGTGATGATGATGATGATGGTGCTGTTTCAGATGTGGTTCTGAAGCCTATATTTGAGCAAGCAGGAAGGTCCGGTAAACCCCGTTTGTCATCAGCGTTGAGAGTGAAGGACTTTGGTAATCGAGTGATGATTCATCACGTGGTGCCCGTTGGCCATATCGTAATGCGAACCAACCAGACAGATATCGACTGGTCGCAGACGTGCGGAGGCTTCCTCGTTTCCTTCATCGACACAGTCCGCATAATGACCGACCCAGTTTTGACAAAGGAGGAACTTGATAGGAAGGGTCATTTGTGGTCTCTGTGGGACGAGACCACCGATCCTCCTCACCCCGTCTGTCAGTCCGCTCCTCGCTCCAGCAGCAGCGATGGAGCGTGGCAGACACTCCACCGTGCTGGCGTTGTCCTCATCGACCGATCCCGTTCTTACCGCCTCCACTGTAAACATCTCGGCTTTGCCTTTCATTCCGGTGCCCTGAAATGGACCGCTTTTGTCACAGTTTTGTGCCTCTTAGTACTCAAGGCCTTGGCTCTCACAGTCAAGAGAATCAAAACTCTACATAAGGACTTTTGGGAGATGAAGTCGGTCAAAGACGAGCTGGCGAAGGCCAAGGCTGCGGCAGAGGCTGCCAGCAAAGCCAAGGCCAACTTCTTGGCGACCATGTCCCATGAGATTCGAACACCCGTCAATGGAGTTATTGGTACGTGATGTCCACAGGAGAAACTTACTAGGGTAGGGTGGTGGTGAAGGATCGTGTTTTTTTTTTTTTTTTTTTTTTTTTTTTTTTTTTTTTTTTTTTTT